TGGTTGTAACATACCACAGTTTGATTTTTGTCCAGATGAAAACATTTGGTTTTCACTTCAGTAAATATTGTGGAGACATTGCCAGCTAATTCTGAAAAGTAATGAAATACGAGTTTGGCAAAGCGCAGATGCGTTCTGTACTCCCGATTCCGCTTATCTGATCCAAGTTCAGGGTTTTTCTTTCTTCCTTTTTCTTTTCTTTTTTTTTTTTTTTCCTTCACATTTGCCGGTGCACTTGAATAATCAGGAGAGAAAATCTGCCTGTAGCTTTAATAGAAAACTGTAAATATTATATACACTTCTATATGTAGAGTATAAAATCTTCCCATCATAAACCTCATATAACCCTTAGCTGTTAAAACATTCATTTACCTTTCATCCATGACTCCCACAAAACTAGTTTGTGAAGCGGATGTGTGGTGTCGTTGCGTGTGTTTTCAGCCTCCTCTCAGTTGTTCATTGATCTTGTGCATGGACGCTGTAACCCTGCGAGTACCAGGCATGGCTCCAATTAGGGCTGCCTAGACCCTTTTCTCCCTGTCCCTGCAGGTGACAGGCAGCAGGTGGGCAGTGAGCCCTGCCCTATGTGGGTTGTGTGTGTCAGGGAGGGTCTCCTTCAGGAACAGCTTCCACTTGAGAAGTGCCTGCCTCTGCAGCTGTGCTCATCCCTCTAACTTCCCTCTCCCTGACCTGAGTGCCCCACCACCATGAGCTTTTTCAGGATTGCCTCCCCCCAAATTCCAAGAGGAGATGGTCCCCTAATAAAGTGTCTGGGTAGGAACTTTACCTCTTACATGCTGGAGTTTAAATTGAACATATTTTAATGAAAATTAAAAAAAAAAATACTATCTTCCTTTTTCAAATCCTAAATAATTGCCTTTCCATTGGCTGAGCAATGGATTGATTTGATTCCCTAGTGTATCCCCTCAACCATGTTATACTGAGGAATGTGGGATCATTTCACCAGGATAAAGAGCCCAGGTGCTGTGTGGCCTTAGGGTTTTAAAATATCCTTTCCTGCTGTGTGTGTTGCATATTTTCCTTCTTTAAACTTACTTGTTAATTAGATAATTGAACTTGGAGCTAAGCTAAGGAGAAATAAATTTGCTATTTATGAAAATCTTTGCTACTTCACTTATTTAGATGACTTTTTTTTTTATAAGTTTAAGGCTGTTATGGTTATTTCCTAGGAATTAGCCTATAACAGCCAGTGTTTCTCTATCACTTTGCTTATAAGAGGATCTTGCTGGTTTTGTCCCAACAAGAGACAGCTTTAAATGCTTCCTTTCTGCCAGTGCTGCGGTCTGGAACACTAGCTTAGACGTTCCATTCCTTTGCAAGTGGATGTGTTGTCTAGGTCCTAGAGGGACTTGCAGTCATAACAGAGCTTGGGAACACACAGCGTTAGACTGATGGAGTTAGACTGATGGACGCAGCCTTTGTCTTTTTGCATCAGTTTGGATTGGAATGTTAATGAGATATAGGGGATTGAGGACACCCAGGGAGATGATAGAGGTCTGTCCATATTGAGGAATGAAGTATGTCTTGGTAGTGGCTTCCTGAGTAAAACCTAGAAGGGGACAGTGGCTTTAACTCTCCACAGTGGGGTTGGGGTGTTGCTATGATAGGTGGCAACATATCAATCCTGCTAGCACAGGATTTGAACTAAGGGCACATTCTTGTGTCTGTTAGTCGTTAACTGATCTTCCTGCCTGAGGTTAATTATTAGTGCTCATTCATGCTTTCTCCCAGTGTTCCTTTCCTACATCAGGGCTTCTACTTTTCTACCCAGTTGACCCCTTCACTACCTGTTTTTTTTTTTTTTTTTTAAACAGTTTCTCTCTCACTTTTGAAGATTTATTTATGCATGCAGAACTGGGTAAGGCCAGAAGTACAGGGGTGATGAGAGGATTCACCAGAGACAGAGCGGGAAGCAGAACAGGCAGATCAACTGAAATATACTGCTGAGGGGAGCAATGGGCAGGTCACCAGAGGTCGGCCTAGCCGTGTGGGTCAGATCCCTGGTGGGGGATCGAATTGGCGCTGAAGAGTGGCTTCGGCTAGCTTGGCAGTGCTGCGCTTTAATCTGTTGTGCCACTTTGCTACCTGTTTTTCTTAATACCTTTAGGTCCAGACCAACACATCAGTGACTGACTAGTGACAGAACCACCATTCCGTGAAAAAGGTCTCTGCTTTTCACCCTATACCACACACATTTAAAGGAATCAGGCCCTTTCCTGCTTGGGCTGCAGAGCCATTTGCATGATGACTTTGCATGCTTCTGAGTTTCAGTTTGAGACAAAATTGCCCAGAAGCTGTCCTATTCCTTCCCGGTCTTCCATTTCCTATTTGACATTACCTTTGCGTTAGCCTCTGGCTTTCCTTCAGAATGTCTAGGAGGTCAGGCAGGTTTATATTTACTGAGAAGCTGCTTTTGTTGAAGAGATTACCCTCTCTGCTCTCTTTTGGATATTTGAGTGTTTGATGCTGATGCTAAACAGAGATACTAGACATTTTCTTTTGTCTGTTTTATTTCCTGGCAACAGGAAAACCTTGGGCGTAAGGAATGTGTTAGTCGCTTCAAATGGTTTATCCTAGGTTTTGAGTTTTAACATACCTTAAACAGATTTGTAAGTAGAAGTTAATTCCTTGTTTATTTCTTTTAAGTGCTTCCTGCAGGTTTTACCTGAAACACATTTTATATCTGCCTTATTCTGATCCCAGGCCCAACCTCTACCCTCCTTTTTATACATTATTTCCCAGTGCACTCAGTTGCAGTATCTATTGCATTTCCTGCTGAGGGGAGAGAGGGATACTACGGGGTAATGGCAGCGGTGGCTGAGGAAGTTACTACAGAGCTACACGAAAACTTTGGATTTCCGCCAAATCAGCATGAACATTTTGATCTAGAAGACATTTTGACTTGTTGTATTTCTTCTCGTTTTACCAAAGAGAAAAATTTAATGGTTGAGTTTGAGACTTTCAACGCAGTGTTCCCTGCTGTACACAGCATGTAACATGTTACGTTATGTCATGTCACATAATAACATGAGCTGGCATTTATAGTGAAATATTTTTAAAGCAGAACCTGTTGGGAATGATGATGTAACGTTTGTCCTGCTTTCCTAAAGGATTTACAAAGTTAGATTTGGGAAACAAGGTTCCAGTAGTACTGGTGTACTTGGCTGCGTATTCTGGAACACTCCAATTAGGAAAGAAGAATAAATATAAGAAAACATAATGTTTTTCAAATGGAAAAAGCCTCCCCTGCTCCCCCTAACTTTAAACTTATTTCTAATTCCAGTTTGTTTCTCCCCAGAGTCTGTGTCAGATTTATTGTAATACATATGTTGAGAACCTAGTTCTCATTGGAGGGGATTAAAGGAGAGGGAGGAACAAAGAGGAAATGGGTTTTTGAGAATGTGTCCAATTCTGCTGTCCGCTGAGCCCAGTGTCTTTGTCCACATACATTCCACCCAGAGGTGAAACCCACATTACTGCGGAGTTTGTATATTGGTCATGACTGCAACACGAGGAAGGAGACATGGAAGTGTCTGTGTGTGAGTCTGTGCGTCTGCACGAGATGCATGTATGTTCTGCCACTTCAGGTCCCTGTTTCCGTGAACTCATCCCATCTGCTTGTCTGCTTGTCCCATCCTCCGAGGTTGGACAGCAGTGTCTACCCATTGTATGGAAGTTGAAGTCTCCATTGGAGGAGGAGAGCAAACCAGTTACTTGTAACATCCTTGCAGATGTTACCCGGAGTATTAGTTCAGTTGTAACGAAGTAGGCAAGTGAAGAAATGATTTTCACATTTACTAATTTTTCTGTGACTTGATAGTAATGCATCCAGAAACATTTAATGAGAAAAAAAGAGTGAAGATGTTGCTAGAATTGGTTTTAGGAATTTTCCTTGGTGTTTTTAGCCCCCATTGATATGAAACAAAACACCCGTCGGTTGAGTAGTTTCTTTCTGATTGTCATATTTTTTAATAGAAAGAACTGACTACATAGTGTTTCTTTTCAATATGGAGCTCATATTCTGGTATTATTGCTGGAAATGAAAACAATTGGGTATGAGGAGGTGGTTAAGGGTTAAGGTATAAAAGGAGAATAGGATATGGATTTTTCAGTCATGTTTGCTTTTGAAATTTTTTTCTAACTTGCTGTGCAGGTGTTTGATAAATTTGCATCTTACCAGCCTGACTGACCTCACTTACAAATATATTATAGTTTCGGTGAAATTCCATGTCTTGTCATTCACGACATTGTTGCTTATATGTTGTAATCTGCCTTCATTTCTTTTGCTCTGATTGTCTCTTCTTTTTACAGCTATGTATACAATCAGGTTCTCCCTGGTGGTACGGCTCAGTGCTATCACTGCTAAGGCCTCAGTTCAACCCCCAGCCAGGAAGGTGACCCACATGGTCTCAACTACTCTTTCCCTTAGCAGTGTATTTTGGTAGACATCCACTGTCCTGCTCCACACTCTGTCTCTGGCCTACACCCAAGTTCTACACCCCAACCCCCAAACTCAAGTTTTTATAAAATCAGATAATTCAATATAAACAAAGATGCTTAACTTCTTATCTGTAATATAATATAATCCACAACAGGCTATTTTCCTTAGCATTGGGTAGATGTTTTTATTTTATTCTCTTTTCTCAATCAGTCACTACTGACCTGTATGTGTGCATATGTGCTTGTGAGTGGCACACACACATTATTCAGATGAGATTTCAATTTTTTAGTTTTGGTTTGGTGAATAGCATCACCCCCTCTCTTGCCTGGGGGATTTTGCTGGATGTCCTTTAAAAGGACACAGGTGGAATTTTATTTTATTTGAAAAATAAATTAAGATGGCAGTAGAGATGAGCAGTGTTGCTTTATCTCAGTCATGAGGATTTGGGTTCATAACTTAATAAATGTCTCTGTTTGTTGTGCTACTTCCAGGAGGGGCCAGTCTTGTATTTATGAGCCCTCTGTCTTAAACCCGCCAGGTTCCCCTGCGCTGCCCAACAGCATGGTATATTTTGGAAGCTCTCAGGATGAGGAGGACGTTGAGGAGGAGGAAGATGAGACAGAAGACGTCAAAACAGCTACCAACAATGCTTCATCTTCATGCCAGTCAACCCCCAGGAAAGGAAAAACCCACAAGCATGTTCACAACGGGCATGGTAGGTCCTCTCTTGGTTTGGGTAAAATAAGATAAAACCCAGCGCTTTGGGTGAAAGTTGGGGTAGATCATCTCCTCAGAAGACAATGATGAAGACTGGGTGGCTGGGTAGTCGCCGAGCTAGGTCCCGATTCTTCTTTAGACACTTAAAAGGTCAAGAGGTATGGAAAACAAAGTATAATCCACTGTATCCTAGACACATCCGATGTTAAGATGAGTGCAGACATTTGTCGGCTGTGAAGATAATAGATTTCATAGGCACTACAGATATGAGGGGCGGGGGTGTTCAGGAAGATTGTGTGAAGAAACTTGTGATTAGCTTATTTTGCTTTTAGCAAGTGAAGATCTTTATTATTCAGCATGTGAAATCAAATATATATTATACATTTTACCAATTTTTCTTTGAGGAAGATGACGAATAGCACATAGGGCAGGAAGTTTGGATATCAGAGAGTAAGTTGACTCTACACACTGCCCAGTGGTTTTTCAACAAGGGAAGTGACTTAATTGGAGTTGTGTTTTAAGAAGATTAAGCTGGCATCAATTACGGGGATTTCATAAAGGGAAATAAATTGAAAAGGAAGGAATACTTCGGAAGGCTGTAATTGTAGGCATCACCTGGCCAAAAGTAACAGGGAACTGAAGTATCACATACAGGTAGTGCTTAGCAGGTAAACACAGCACCACAGACACCAGAGAAGTCCAAAAATGAGGAGGTGGATGAAGAAGCACTGCAGGGGTAGTGTTGAGAGGCCTTGATAACATTCTGGGTGAGCAGGGGCAGGGGAAGGAAGCAAGAAAAGAGGCTAAGGAGAGTGGAGCAGAGAATGCGGGAGAGAGGTTGGGACTCTCCCTGAGCGTGTCCTGCCAGGTCTCCTCTCCACCTCATGTTCCTTGGGACACACACAAGCCACGGAGTGAAGGGAGAGCCTCTGTACAAATAGCAGAGAATCAGTGTTGTGGACAAGTGGTTGGCACAAAGGAAAGTTTCTCCTTGTTTCGCTCTCCATGACTCTGCACACGGAGCAGCTTTTTTTCTTGACTGGGAAATAGAGGCTCAGGACAAGCACAGTTTAGACATGAGAAGCTCCATTTCTAGCTTTTATTATTGTTGGGCATTTTTGCATATCAATTTAATGATTGTTCATCTGTCCCAGATACTTCTTGTTTAATACTTTATCCCCTGGCATCTTAGATAAGGTAAAGAGTGCGACCCCTCCTTTTTAATGACTTACAGTTTATTTGGGGAAAATGTGTTGATAATGCCCAGTGCATTATAGAAAGTGGTGGCTTGCTTTTAACCTTTCAGGTAAAAACTGTTTACTTAACTGAAAGAGAGCTACATATGTGATCTGGAGTTCAGGTGAACTCTTAGGGAGTTCAAGAATGTGGAATGCTGCGTGGACATTGCTGGTGGTGTATTTTCTCATTAGAAAGGGGGTGAGGGGATGTGCTTTGGAATGAGTAGGAACCATGGGAAAGAATTGGTAACACATGCCCTTCAGGCTAGGAGGAAGAACTCGAATGTAGAGAGGGAACTGTTGATGGTTCTAGATGTGGAAATAAGATGAAATAGAACAAGTTCAGAATGATTCCTCTGACAGCCTGAGGAGAGCCTGAGGAGTCCTGCCATAAAGTAGCTGAGATGAAGCCGGGCTGCAGTTCAGAGGCGCACGGAAGCATTTAAGTAAAATTGATCAGCTTTCCACAACTGATTGGGAAGGCCAGCTTGAAGGAAACAGAAGCAGAGTTGGGAGTTGATGCACAAGCAGTTAAGAACTTGGGTATCTTTGGAGGCACTGCGGGGAGGGGGGGGGCCCAGGGGCTGGGGTCTGGGGTCTTCTTCAGGGAACTGCTGGTAGAGGGCGTCTGAGGGAGCTTTCTGAGCAAGAATGAAGCAACAAAGGAGACTTGTGATCTCCTTTTTTAAAAAAAAAATAGTCTTGAGAAGGTATCTAGTTTTCTAGTTTTACCTTTTGTTTAGACGAATCAAGAGTCAATCAGTATAAACAAAACGTGAAATTAGACTTAGCTGCTGGCCTCTGAGTGCTCTGGCAGAGCAGTCCCACCGGTGCGCTTGTTTGAACTTGCTGGTTCACTAGATAGTTCCTCAGATTCAGCTCTCAGTGTCAGTATGATCCTCCTTCCTGTGCATGGATATGAATTTTCTTTTCATATGAGCTGCTGCAGGGTGATGCTGTGAAGGGGCAGTCATGACCCCCTGGCCGCTCATTCAGCGTCCACGAAAGACAGGCCGTCTGCATCCACAGACACACACACAGGCAAACTTACACATTTTAAAAATAATAAGAGATTTTACAACTGTAAACAGCTCATGTTTGAATGAAAAAAAAATGACTAAAGGGGGCTTAAAGTTTGCACTTTGGGGATTCACTTGTTACTTCACACATTGTCTGCAGTACTGTTGGGTTCTTTCTCTGTACTCATGAATTCTGTGTCTCTCGGGTGGGGTGTGTGTTGGGGGGCTAGTGTTGGGCCATTGGGTGGTTGGGCAGGCTCGGTCCGGGGAGTCTTTGCTGAGGGACCTCCTCACTGCCTTTTCTGACTCTGTGCTCATCCCTATTTCTGACTCTCTGTCTCTTCCTCCCTGTGCCATCTGGAGATGTGGTGTGGGATAGCTAGCAGGACAGCAGGGTGCACCCCTCA